ATTTAAAGTAATTTCAATCACTAGTTTTTTATTTATTACATTTTTTGTAATTCCGATTACTTTTTTCGAGAACTGTATATAAGGTATGATGCATTGGAAAAAAATTTTAGATCATGCTTTAGAATAATCGGTTTTTCTTACATTCTCTACAATTTAGCGTGTTGTGTTCTAGATCTGCGATTCTAGCAATAAGTTTAGCAGTTGTTTTTTTCAACAAATCAAAGCACAAATGACATGATTGATAGTAACTTTAATAAAACACAGAAACCACAAAACAATATATACGTTAGGTTCAAAAGGTAAAGCCGTAGACCCGTGGGCTGTAAAGTTAAATGATATCATTCAAATCTTTCTTCTAATGTAATGGTTGTATTTTATTCCGATTTAACAAATCGTATATATATTCAATTGTAGCATTACTTTTAATCGAGGGTTAACTTTCCAATTATATTATAAATATTGACATAATGGTTTTATTATTATAATATATATTTATTCTATTTAGCTTTCTTTTTAAAAGTAAATTTCCTTTATATACTATAAAATGGCAATTGTACTTGCTATTCTAATTATAAAAATTGTAAATCATTTGCATATCCCCCTCTCTTTGAACAATATATAATGAGTTTACAGAAGATAAATTTTTTAGAATTTGAATAATAAATAGAATTTTCCGTGAATGTGTTGAATTATTTCATTTATTTTTACACGTTATTATATTTGGTGGAAAAAGTTTCATCCAAATTTTTGCTTTCTTTACATCAATTTCGCATTTACTATAGATAGATTTATTTTAGAAGATGAATCGATTCTATTTCGACAACAATTTTTAGTAAAATACTTTGGTTAATAATTGAAGAACTCTGTCATTTATGTTCGTAATGAAAAAAAATTCGCCTTCATTATTGTTGACAAAGTAATTAGAACGAAATACAATTTTGACTATTTTACTGTACTATTAGCTGGAAATGCATTAATGTGATGAATGATATGATTCACATTATTTATTATACTATCCAACTAAAATCGCTTTAAAACGTCACCGGATTTTGTATACATTACAGTCAAAAAATCATTCGATAGTTAGATGATCGATGATCCGACGATCATGTTGTATAGTAGTCGAAGAAACAACTCGATTTGAAGATGATTCTGAATTAATATATCCAGCATCGGGTTTAAGAAGAATTTTTTGACGATACATGTACGAGCAACTTCCCAATAAAAGTAGACCAAATATAACTCCAATAACTGATCCGGCGATAAGTCCGGCTTTATTTTTCTTAATAATAACTGAATCATTAGGACTTGATTTAGATTTTCCATTACCTGATCCATTCGATGAAGATGAACTTCCAGATGATGGAACCGAAAACCCACGTATTGGTTGCATAAAATTTGATAAAGTAGTTTTGTTATCATCATGACTAACGTCAGATATAGACATTCCTCCGATTGAATTAGTCATTGCAAAATCTAATTTACTTCGTAATGAACTAATATCTTCATAAGAGACATATAAATAAAAAGAAAATTCGGGTTCAACAAGGTTATATAGCCATGGAGTACCAGAATTATATGTTGGATCAAATTTACGTGTCCATTTGGGATTAGTCGTATTGATAGTACAAAATTCATCCGTTGAATTTAGAACGATATTTGAAAGATATTTCCATGGCCATGAATATATATTAGATTCAGCATTAGGACAAAAATTTCTGATTTGTTGGATTTGATTCTGCATGTCTAGCTTCTTAAAATCATAGGTAGATTTGGGAAATTCAACAGTCTGAATTTGTTGAATAGTTTCGTTAGATACCATTTGAAGAGTATTCCCAAAATCTACACCCATAATTATTTTTTTACTATCAACCCCAATATTACGCCAATCTTTATATGCTTTTTTGTATACATCTAATGGAGAATTTGGATATGATTTATAGTTGTTAACTTCTGCTGGCGGCGCTTTTAAGTTTTGATATAAAGCATTATGATAAGTTTCAATGTTAAAATAATCAATTTCTTTTAAATTTCCAATTACATCTCTACCAACAGTCAACATTAATGTTTTTCCAACCAATTCCTCTCGAAGGGTTTTTAAAAAAGTGATGAATCTGTTGTCATATCTTTTATCCCATATGAAAACATTAGGATTAGGATTATTAGGATTTGAATTTGGATTTGCATCTTTACAAAGGCTTCCTCTCATTCCTGGATATTCAATGTCTATACCATCTAACTCATGATCGTTTATAGTATTAATTGTGTCGGTAATAATTCTTTGATAATTGGCATCATCTTGCGGCCATTGATCAACATTATAATTTCTTATTGAAAGAAGAATCTATATTATAATAATTATTATTAAAATTTTATCATATTTGAATAATTTAATACTAAATATTTTTAATATAATGCTTACTTTTGTAGTTGCTTTAGCTTTGGTTCTAGATTCTCTCAAATCATCTATGGGTTTTAATTTATTTTCATCATTTGGGTAATAAATACTATACCCTTTGCCATCACCATCCTTCGGAAATGCTAAGTTTCAAAATTATTTTTTTAAATATGCGCAAATTGTATGAAATAAATTAGTTTTCTTATTCTTACCAATAACATTTATATAATCATAATTATTCCATGGTATTTTTGGTAGACCTGTGCCAAACAGTTGAACATATCCTATCGTTTTTTGCTTATTCGCTTCCTCCACTGGCTCTAAGGGTTCTACTATACAACTTTTGGGATTCTCATTCCCTATACTATCTTCCTGTGCTAACGTTATTAACGCTACCGATAATAGACCATAAAGGATAAAACCAGCAAACTTATTGAAAGGTGGTGATGAAAATAAGGAAGAATACATTTTCCGCATATTTATTAAATGCAATGTATTATCAATGCCTAATTTTTCTCCTTTTAAGTAAAATTAAAATTTTTTTTAATGAAACGTTAAACGAGAAGCTTGCCGGCATTGCTTTGCTGATCTATCCTTATTTAAAGGGAAGTGATTACGATTAGATTATAACTTACAAAGTAATTTGTTGACCAATTATATTAGCAAATTGAAACTTGAATTCAATCCTGTGAACTTTTAGGGAGATGTGTTACAGAAAGTGATAGTTTTAGATATGAACATCACTTGAACATGCATTGTTATTATTGTTTTTCTAATTTCGGCTTCATATGCCCCAAAAATACATCATTATTTCAAAAGGAATATTGCTTTCAGTAATTATCGATTAATTAGTTCAGTTGTAGATGGTGGTAAAAGTCTATTCGAGTGTTGAGTTATTTGGTATTGTTTTAATGTTGACGAAAGCATTAGAGTATGATTTGAATATATCACGTGAAATGATCTACTCAAATGTATAATTTGCTAAATATAATATATAATACGGACTTACCTTTTTGATAATTAAATCATTTTTCGCATTCCAATATTAAATTAAAAAAAGTATCATACGCCATCTGCGTCTTACGATTCTTAAATTTAATGAAAAAATTGCGACTTACGTCGTTCTTTATGACCTAATAACGAAGTATTTTAAATATTTGATTTCCAGAATTTGTTATATTTAAAACCCTTAATTAGAAATAAATCTATCAGGATTAGTTAAAATCGATTTGTCCAAAAGTGCCCCACTTTCTTCTTTATCAAAGTAAATTTATTGCATTATTATTATTCACTTTGTTTGATAATGTTATCAAAGTTCACTTCCATATATCTTAAATATTTTATCGATATTACCATATTAACTGGTTGCGACTAATGAAATCCGACAATTCCGAACCATTAATTATCATTCGTCCTGCCGCAGTATTTCGATTAATTGGCACGTGAATTCAAGCGGATCCAGTTTTCTCTCATTTAATAAACTACCTCAAAAAACCAACATTATAATTTCCTCAAACAAAATGTTAGTGCTATTTTTTTCGGAAATAGGTAAGACAACTCATTATTTCTCAGCACACGGACAAGACTGAACAATTCCTTTTGCTATTTTAAAACTCATGACGTTATAAATTTGTTTCATTTATTACAAAGAATATGTGAAACTTGAAATCAATGAATCCTAAATAATTTTTTATTTGACCTAACCAAAAAAAATATAACCGTTAGATTGCATGTCTAATTACGTAATGCTGTCGAAAGATACGGTATTCCGTTTACTCTAAATAACAACACGAATGCTTTCATTATTCTTTTATTTATTTTTGTTTGATTTATCTTTATTCTTTTATTTTATTTTATTTTATTTTTTTATTTTATTAATTATTATTGATTTGATTTATTCTTATTATTATTATTTTTACCAAAAATTTCCATACAATTAAAAAACAAAAAAAAAAAAAAGATTGCATTTCCAATCAATATTCATAGAAAGGAGTAATAAAATCTATAGGATCAGAAACGTTAGGGATGGATCTCTCCAATGCTTCTAATGCGTAATAACTAGAATAATCATTTAATCTTTCATCCATGTCATCATTTTCAGTGGTAAAATAAAAATCGTCATTTAAATATGTATAATGATATCTAAATTTCTTCAGTGAATTCTTTTGTTTGGCATACTCTGTCAAGACCTTAAAGTGCTGAGCAGTGATTAAATCTTTATTATGAAAGGTGATTTCATTTAATGATGCCCTGCATTTTTCCAGTAAGAAGATTCTCAACTCTTTACTTGAAATCATAAAATCAAATTCCAATACCTTCAGTGAGATGGGGATCTGACAAATCAAGTCCCAAATGATGATTTCATCAAAGTATATTTGATTTTTAGAAGAGGGTTGGGTGAGATTATCGGAATATTTTAATTTTAAATGATGTAATTTTGGTAAGTCAACGATCAATTTTAAGCAAGAGATCAAATTGTTATTGTCAATGATGGTGGATAAATGTGTTATATTTGGACAATTTATAAGCATAGATGGAACTTTGTTGTTTGATAATGAGAAGGTCAGCGTTTCCACTGTTTTATTTGAATATTCTAATAAGGTCTGGAGCACTTTATAACTATCATCTTTATTATACGGGTAACCATCCTTGGGTAGGAAAAATATATTCTTGAGATTGAACTTGATGACGGTACTCCTCGTGATGGACTCAAATGTAACCCTACTCTCCCTTGTCTGATTACCATTAATGATAGGCTCCTCATATGGAACGATTGGTAACTCTATCGTTTCTAGACTTTTCAACTCAAACATTAGGAGAAGGAAATTATCCAGCGTAATTTGAAATTCCAACCTCAAAAAGGTTAAACAATGAGATTGCGAAACCAGTGAATTATAAAATCTCTTGTATCCAAATGAATCCGTGGCATCCGATATGTCCAGTGTCTTCAAATTTTGTTGTTGTTCAATTATGTTTGAAAGTATTCTCATGATTTCTTTAGATTCCGCTGATGGAACGAATGGTTTATAATCCAAACAGAGACACTTAATGGTTTTATTATGTGGGATAAGTGTATTCAGTAGATTTTTCGTTAGGGAGATCAAATGTTCCAATTCATCAAAATTTTGAAATTCATTAAAATCAAATTCCTCAAAATGATACTCGATGTCAAATTCTTGAATTTGTGATAATACATCGCTTGATCCTCTGTAAGAAGTGATTTCAATAAATCGAATATTCTCATCATTAATCAGGTACATGGTATGATAATTAATGTGAAAGATCAAATTCCTCATTTTATTAACTTGATTAAAAAATAGGTTTTCAAAAATTTCATTCGTAAGAACTTCCTGGCATAATCTCGTTTCATCTTTTTCAACACACCAACAATGTATTGAATATATGATCCTTATATATTCGAATTCAACAAGGTATTTATGATATTCAATTGAAGAAGGTGAGGAATCATTCAAGACGATACCCTCATCAAGTAAATGTTTAATACGATCTTGAGGGAGGCATTTAATATACGTTCGTACTATCAACGATAACTTTTGCGTTGGAATGGTAAATGAGAACGGATCATTCCATAATTTTGGCATCGCTAAATGGAAGAAAAATCGATTCGCAAATAAACATGAATATAAGGTTGATTTGTCATCAATAAATTGAAATATATCAGTAATACAATCATCTGGCAACTTTACTATTGGTTGAAGATTTTTAAAGGTTACAAAAGACATTTTTTTTTTTAATTTTTGAAAGCGTAAATTCCGAAAGGAATTTAGGAAGAGAGAAGAAAAAAGATTTCCCATTTGATCAGAAACTCTAGACTATTTATATTTGATTAATCTGTGACATGTGTGTAATGTGGTACCATGCCACTTTCGGCATAACGCTTAACAAAAAAAACCTTTGATGACCCTGAATGTTAATTTCATGGCGCAATAAATTGTTACACTGACGTTGAATCATCACATACTTATCACATTACCATTTGCTATGTAAATGATTTTGTTATTTATAATGGGCCATTTAGGTTTTTTTGGGATGTCGATCATTTTTTTCAAGAATTTTTTAATCATAGTTTACATAAAGATCTTTTTTTAAAAATAAATAAATAAATAAAAATAAATTTTATTGCCGCAATATCGTTCGACTTCTATGGGGGGACTAATAAAGCGGACAATAAAAAATCGAAACCCTTGATATTGTTACCATTTATACAAATAATGAGATTCAATTACCAAATAAGGTTATGATTAGAAAATCCAGTCAAAATCATTTGATTTTAATTTTAATGTCGTGGAGTTTTTATTAATGAAACTTTTAAATTAAATTAACACATGATTGGGGAATCTGGATAGATGTTTTTGTTGATTTTGTTTAAATCTCGAGACAAAACAAAATAAAAAAAATAAAAGACGTTTTCTATATGAAGATCACTTTTAAATTTGAATATAACGTGTCAATGACATCAATTATAAAACGTTTCATTAAATTCAAACCCTTGTGAAAAAATGTACTTCCGGAATATGTCATAAAAAAGTGACGTTTAGATAAATGTTCGGAATTCGTGCCGAAATGCAAGATTTAGGAACGTTGCTCCTTTTTCGAAGGTCCTTGAAAAATTCTTAAATCTATTGTATGCAAGCTAATGTTTAGAAATCGATAATAATAATTCTTACTTGACGATTTTTTAAATCAGGAACGTAAGTTAAAACAAACCTATTTAAATCCATGTATCATTATCTCATATTACCGCAATCCGTAATAAATCCTTTGCTGTGCCATAGATGATCATAATATTGAAGCGAGTGAAACCAAACAATTCCGGCATCCGTGTTTTGTCTCAGGGTCTACCGGAGTTATGATTATGGTAATAGTTATAAGAAAGGATTCGGCGGAAAAGTGTCCGATTCATCAGACGTTTTACTGATGTTTCCGGATTTGCCCGCATCCTCGCGTAAATAACAAATTTCACACGAAAATATATCATTGAAGATTTTGAAATAAAGAGTTGATCACACCTCATTTTGAGTCTGTGTCGACTATCCTTCCCCGCTTTGAGTTGGAAAAAATTACTTTTAGTAGATAGATCAGCGCATACACCAATGAGACTAAAAATGTGTTGATTATTGATTATTTATTTATTTAAATTTCTTTTATTTGGAAAAAATTAATAAGATTTATTAACGGTTGGTCCTTTGTACGATGATCAAAAAAAAAAAAAGATCTAAGAAAAGTTAATTTTTTTTTTTTAAAAAAAATCTGGAACTCCAACATGCATGAAACATCAGTATAAGGGAGATTTTTTTTTTTTTTTTTTTTGCATTGAGGAAATTGGTTGGCGCGACTAATTTTAAATATTTTTTTTTTTTTCCTTTTTCCTTGAGCGATTTTCATCCACGATAAACATTGCAGCTGTTTGCGGGTTTTGTTTGGAGCCAACCAAAATTTTTAAACCCCGTAAACATAGATGAAAAAGATCATTGGCGGACACCGAACCCGAGGTTCTATGCAACAAAATTTGTCAAAGGGGTATTACTGATTGTAAATGAACTCAATTTTGACAACATCTCTTCATCTCTTATTTTAATTTAAAAGCGCGATTTTTGAATGTGTTTCATTTCACTACGTTATTTACCATCTAAAATAAAATGATTTAAAAAAATGATTTCACTGATAAGCTCGAATTGTCAGGAAATGTCTTGATACCTTCCTGGCAGTTTAGGAAATGTTCTTTGTTTATGTGTGACTGCAATCTACGCGTTATCACTGAATACGCTTAGCCCTAAACATTTAAGTCCTAGAATATCTTCATTACTGTATAAATACTCTCAAAAAAAAAATATCGTGGAATTTTCTCCAAAAAAAAAAAAAACATAAAAAAATAATAAAATTATAAAAAAACAAAATAAAAGAAAGAAACTAAAATCCTTTTAATATCTTCATTACGGTATAATTACGTTCAAAAAAAAATTTTACGAGTGATTTTCTCCAAATAAAAAACGAAAATGTACACTCAACGATTTAAAAAAATAACCAACGTGTCCATTCGATCAAAGTTGAATACTTTCTTAAGACAAATCAATTATGCTAACATATCTACCCCTTCGCGTAATGATTGTGCACTTGCAGCTCAATCAAGAAATGAATTTCAAAGATTAACAGGAAAACAGTTAATGCGACAAAGCGTAAAACGCGAAGCTCATCGATTACAGATATACGATCGATACCTTATTAAATTAGCAACCGATCACATTTGGAATTTAACATCAACAATTTCTCAAAGAGTCAGATTTACAAATCAGGCGAATTATATGAACCAAAATCGCGTTTCTCGAGTTCGTTCTAATAACCCGAGTACCCTTGACTTAATCGCTAAAATCACTTTACCACAAGTTTCCAACAATCCCTTTGAGCAAAATTTTTTTAACGGGACCACCAACTTTGATGACAACAATCCTGAACATTCAATTTTGCACGTCGGATCCTTTGGAATATCTACTTCTTTTGCTTAAATATGTTATATTTATTTATAAGGAAACAATAAAGAAAATATAGATCGTTTTCATTTAAGCATTTATTATATTAAATCTATTATATTAAATTTATAAGAATTATGTATGTTTATGGATGTTAGGTCTCCTTTCAGTATTCGCTCATGAGCTTTTCATTTCAATTTTTTTATGTTTTCCTTTACTTTATAATTTTTTTTTTAAAAAAATAAAATTCTTTAAGCTTTACTTTCGATAAAAATACAAAAATAAAACACACAACGTTTCATAAATTATCTTAATTGTAAAAATAAAAAAAAAATTTCTTAAACACACTAAAAGAATGAACGAAAATTTGATAATCCGACTTGAATTTTACGTTATTTGAAAAACACATGAACCCAAACCAACAAAAAGAAATTTTGTAACGCGCAAAAAAAAAATCTGCGGAGCATCAACCCTTTCTCAAGAAATAAACCGTTTTAGGAGATTCCTGTATGCGATATTTTAAATTTGTAGATCGGTTATTTCATTGATGCGTACCTAAATAAATCATAACCCTGGAATCAAACGTTTCGACTAATGTGGACGGAAAATCCTTAAAGTTAGATTTTTCAATGAAATACTCCTGCAGCAATTAATATATCGTATCAAATGATGTTTCATTTAAATGGAAGCTCACGGGTAAAACCCGTTGATGTAGTAGTACCAAGTACCATTTGCAAAACGGGGAAACCATTCATGTGTGTATTTTTATTGTTTTGATAAACCTGATGCTTGCATATGATATAAAGTTTAATCTAATTATCCGTAATAGTGTTCTTGTTATTCAAATACATGTGTGATAACGTAACGTTAATTCAACATGTCACTTTTATAATGCCCACCGAGAGGTTTCTAAATGTGCATTGCCGGGCAACCGTTATTGTGGCTTTACTCTAATTTTTATTCGATAAGGAGCTTTAAATAATAATCTCCTCTTTGTAAATTTTCGGAGATCTGAGAATTTACGGAAGTAGTTTATATTTCCATTAGGCTAGTTCATAATGAATGTTAGAACTTGTTACTGTATTAAAAAACTTTATTTTTAATGCAATGGAATATCCCTATTTGAACATAAATAACATCACAACAGCCGTACGACATTACGTAACTATTACGTAACTCTGGATAATCTTATTGCTCACGGCCAATCAGATCATACTCTTTCACGAATTTCTTCATTAACTTTACAGCGTGCCCCTTGATCATAATACTTGATTGTACAAGAATTTCACTCATATTTGGCGCATTACTTTGATAATTTTGTCACATTTTATGTAATACGTAGTGAAGTGACATGAGAATAAAATGTTTAAATGATGACGGAATTACGAGCTTCGAATCAAATTTACTCGACACGAATGATTTTAGTGGATTCCTGCTCGTTTGTCTATTATATTAGGATGACGATCAATGATATGCGATTATAGCAATAAAATAAAATAAATCAATATAAAAATGAATCAAAGTCTATATATACAGTACACTGTAATATTTCGAGAAATATTATAATATATTATAATATGACGAATATCAGCTGACTATTCGTTTGTATCTCATCCAATAAGAAAAAAGTTTTGGTCCTTATAAATATTGCGCAAGATCTGCAAAAAAAAAAAATCTTTTCAAAAAAAAGTCTTCGGATTGTTCCTATCTATATTTCAGATTCCTCTGTTAAAAGTCATAAAAATCTTACAATTTCAGAATTGTTTATATCACGAAAACCATGATTTATTTTTAAAAAATCTTAATTTGGATTTTATCAAGACTTTTGTCAGATGTTGGATTAATAAAACTCAAAATGATTAAAGTATTAATATTATTTGCACAAGATGGTAATAAAGGTTTTTATTTTAAATAGTCAATCTATATATGAATTAGAATAAAACATGAAAATGATATTCAAAGCCTTTTTTTTGAAATCTTAAATTTTTTTTCAGAAAATCAAAAACAAAAAAAAATTTATTATAATCATAAAATTTTGATTTTTAATTGAGTGTACTTCAAATTTATAAAATATTTGAAATATTACCATTTAATGATACATTAGAGTTAGTTTAGTTGATTAGATTTCAAAAGATATCAAGGTATTATAAATTTTTTGTTATCAAATCAAATATTTATATTTAAAGTATTAACTCTTTAAAATATCAAATCAATTTTTTATTCACTTTTATTTCTTTTAAATTTAATTTTTCAGGATTTAAAAACTTTGACTTAATAAATATTTGGTTGATTAATAAGAGTTGTATCTGCTATAGAGTCAAAAACTCATAAAATAATATATCACATGATTTTATTAATAAAAAAAAATTTATCAAAGAAATTACAAATATTAAAAATTAGAAAATAACTAATTAAATAGAGGATTATAATAGATAAACTAACTGAAATTATTGGTTAAACTATTATAATCATGCTGATTTTGATGGACTGATATATTTTGCTAATAGCTAGATATCAAATATAATTGTAAATATATATAAACTTTTTATACTTTTCAAATATTATTATTATAACAATATTAATTTAAAGTATGATCTTATGTGACTGATACAATAAACTAGTTATTAACTAGAGTAAATAAAATATCATGTTACTCCTTTAGGATAATTGATATTTACCTTTTTAACTAATAACTATTACTTATATATTATGAAATACAAATTATATTATATAGGACAATCATATAATAAGTAATACAAATATAATATAAGATATAAATAAATCATAGAATATGAAAAAATATATTACTGAAATTATAAAGAAAGAAAAGTTTATAATAAAATACTTGGAATAAAAAAAAACATAATGACCTTCAAATATATATAAAGATTATATAAAATCTCAAATAAAAGAAATTAAAAAATGAGATTATAGAATATTTATATAATCTATATTACTAAAAAAAAAAAATAATAAAAATAATAAAAAGGAATAAAAATACATATAGAAAAATAAAATAAAGAGAAAAATTATTTATTTAAAATATAAGAAAAGTAAAAAATAAAAAAAGATAATTATTAGAAATGAAAAAAAGAAAAAAAGAAGAAGAAATTCTAAATAAAAATGTCAAAATAATATATATAATAAAAATGTATAATAATAATATGTAATTATAATAATATAATTAGAAATAGAAATATAAAATGATAAAAAAAATATGAAATATTGAAGAATTAAAATGAAATTATAAAATAATAAACAAAAATTAAAAATAATATAGTTGCAAAGCAAAACTCTAAACTCATTTGGTAAAAATTAAAATATTTGAGAAATTATTTTGACAGTATTGATGGATTTTGATAAGTTTTGACAGATTTTGATAGGTTTCAAAAGTTTAACAGTTTTAATAATAACTTTGTGAATTTTGATAGTTTAACAAGTTTATTGTATCACAATATAGAATACAGAATATAAAAACGTTTTTTTTATTTTTTTATTTTAAATTAGAATAAAGTTTTCATAATAATATATTATTTATCGAACAGTTTTAAATTTGAAAGCATTAGTACTTATTGAAGAATTAAAAAAAATTATTTTTGAAGAAAATAATGATAAAGGTTAGAATCAGATTTATTTTTATATCTGAATTTATTAAACTTCCATTTAAATGCATTTCTAATTTATCTCATTTATTTAATATAAGAAATGATTATATAAAGATTGTCTAAAATAATTTTAAAATATATAAAAAAAAAATATTGGTGTTAATTGATATTAAGAAATTTCTAATTATTTGATTGATACTGATATTTCTAAAATTTTCAAACAATCTAACATTACTGATAAACTAAAATTTATATTTTGCAACTTTTGAAATTAGCTGTAATGCTATAATAAATGAATCATTTAATTATTATGTTATATAAGAATTTTGTTCTAATTTCTATAATATGATTTTTAAATAAAAATTTAATAAATAAATACTATTATGAGTTTAAATGAAGAAATATAAGAGATAAATAATATAACTAGACTTGATTAAATTTATTATTATTTTTTTATTTTTTATAAAAAAGAAAGTAATCTTTGCTATATACGATTTACTCATATTATTAAACAAAAATAGTAAATTTTTAAATTTAAAAATTGTATTTTAATATTAGAAGGTTTCGATGAGTTTTGCCATCTGTTATAACTTTCACAATTTTGTCTTTAATAAAAATATTTAGCAAAATATTTTGACAGGTTCTGCTATTTATCGAAACTTTTGCCACTTTCAAAATTTTCATAATTTTGTTTTTAATAAAAATATTTAGCAAAAAGTTTTGATAGATTTCAATTTTGATATCTGTTAAAATCTCTGGATTTTACTCAGTAACCTTAAAAAATAAAAATATAAAATCAAACAAGTATAGTAATTAATTAGAAATCTAAAAATAAATCTAAAATAATATTATAAAAATATTAAAAGAAATAAAAATAAAAATAAAAATAAGAATCAGAAATAGAAATAAAAATGATAATTAGTAATAGAAATAAGAATGAATTAGAAATAAAAATAAGAAATAAGAATAAAGAATTAAAAATTAAAAGAATGATTTATAGAATTAATCAATATTAATTTATTATAAATAGGAATATAATTTTATCTTAAAAAAGTAATTATTTTTAATCTTGATAATAAAACTATATAATAATTACCTTAGATTAATAAAAGAATTTTAAGATAAAAATATGTATAATATTATATTTATATATTAATTTTATTACTGTTTTATATTTTGTTTAAAATGAATAATAATATTTAAAATATAGAATAATAAAAATAAAATATAAAAAAAATAAAATAAAAAAATAAAAATAAAAATAATCTAATAGATCTACAGTCAACTCTTGTTATAACGAACTCTATGTCCTAGACCTCAACTTTGCTATAAGGTTATAGTGAAGATTTTAAGAGATTTGATTGGTCAATTCACTATAACAAGAGTATTTTTATTATATTTGTTCAAAAAATTCGTTATATCAAAAATTCG